AAAAAAGCGGAATTAAATCATTGAGCACAGCTGCGGTGCCAAAAATGATTCGTTACAGGGTAAAATATCATGCTAAAGCCGAATCCGATATCCATTTTCAAATTTGATTGGTTACGCTAGGTCACTGACCTATGATGTCATTATTTAGTTTCTGCGCTGCACATATGCCTGGGACAGGCGGGCACTATGCCGCATTGGCCGCGCGTTTGCAGTCTCTTCGTGGTTTCAAGCGTTCAAACATGTGATATGATGTTGGTCCCATGCATTAGGGTGGGTGCAAAGGTCACCTGAAGGTCAGGTCAGGTCATTGACCTTCGATGACCTCGGTTCACTTTTTCGAGTTTTACATGTTTCTGGGCTAGTTTTTGGAGCTGAATTCGAATTTAGGAACCATTTGAACATTTACGAAGTAGTTTTGGTGCCTTCGTAACATGTTACGAAGCTGTCAGAGGCGGGTTGACACCTACTACGAATACCCGGCAGGACCCATACTGGTTTACCTGACCTGAGCTGACCCAACCTGGCCTAAATGCATGAAGACATCATCTGTGATCAAAACTAACATGATATTCGTGATCAGCATCCCGAAAAACCCCTTAGCAGCCACACTATACGACGTTCTAACAGGTCCCGACTTTCGGCCATTGACCTGACCTCAGAGGTCACCATTTGACCTATGACCTTAAAACCGGGTACCGTTGGCTTCGTCTCGTGACGACCTACACGATGGTTTTTTCCGCGAGGCTCTAGCTCAATTAGGGGCCAAACGCGAGGAGGGTCGCATCCCCCTGTGCCGTCGAGGGATGCAAAACGGCCTATGCCGGCGAGGGTTAAACCCTTATTTGTCCATTTCGCGCAAAAATGCGCAAAATATTTGCATTGGGCAGCAAGCTATACACCTTGAGGAAAGTCAGGCAGCAAATATCTTCGTGTTGTTCGGTGACGTTTTCTTTATATCCTTATATAAATTCGTTGCGTCGTTGCACTACCACGGTTCCGAACAGGCACTGTAAACCCCACCGCTACTAGTAAGCATGAAATAGTTCCCGGGAACTTGAGTACGAGAAACATGCGCAGAAATACCGGCTGTTTTTTTAAAGCTATTTTGTACGGAATAACTTTAATGATTTTACGCTGAGAGCTTTTGAATCGGGGGAACGGAATATGGTACACAGCAGTCATTTCCATCTCCAGTCGGTAAGTCCTACTTTGCGACGTTATAGCATTATCTGCCTTAACATTGGGGAAAGGAAACTTGCTTATTCGGAAACTTTGGACATTTTTACAATACTCTATCCCATAATTACAGGAATTTCACCGAAGTTGATTTTCGACTTAATTCCGCTTTTTTGATGCGCCTGGCCCACTGTGGGCCGTGTGCCGGCTGACCGGCGCCGCTCTCAGTGCCGGCTGGTGCAGCACACACGGCAGCAGTCAGCTGGCGGCCCCGGCCGACTGGCTCGGCCTCTCTGCAGTCAGCTCATCACTGCACGGTCGGTAGTGCAGCGTATCAATACTACCACTGACACACTCTGACCCCATCGCCTTCCTGGCTCTTCAGCTGCCAGTACAGCTCCCCTGTGGACAGAGCAGAGACACGTCTGAGGTGGACACGTCACACACAGACAGACACACAGACAGCGGTACAGCCATGTCTACACACCGCCGGACAGTGACGTCACACACAGGACAGACGGCTGACGTGACGTCACCGTCGGCCGTGGTGGCCGTGACGCGTCACGTCACCGTCCGTGACGTGGCCTGCGGCGGTGATCGAGTGTGTGTGTCTGAGAGGCCGGTGGCGCCGTGCAGCGTCTGTTGTGAGGGACTGACTGGTCAGAGGCGCGGCGCGCGGCGCCCTCTCACCTACCGGGGACAATGAGAAGGATGGTACGGGGCCGGCCATATCTGTCCCGGCCCAGGTCCGCCTCCTTCAGGGCGGTCAGCACGGCCCGGACGATGTCTGCCGTGCAGTGAAGGACCAGCCCCTGCAGCGTCCGACACGACTTCACTAGTCTGTAACAGAGCAGAGCAGCAAAGCCGTCACACACAAACACAAGCGGCACCAGCCGGCCGGACGTACAAGTCAGTGTCAGTGTCAGTATTTCAGTGTCGGTGTGTTGGTGTCATTGACAATGTGTCGGTGTCAATGTGTCGGTGTCAGTGTGTCAGTGTCAGTGTGTCAGAGTCAATGTGTCACTTCCGTGTCAGTGTCAGTGTGTCAGTGTCAGTGTCAGTGTGTCAGTGTCAGTGTGTCAGTGTCTGTGTGTCAGTGTCAGTGTGTTAGTGTCAGTATGTCAATGTGCCTGCATCAGAGTGTCAGTCATTGTGTCAGAGCCGGTGTCAGTGAATCAGCGTCAATGAGTTGGGGTTAGTATGTTGGTGTCAGTGTCAGTGTGTCAGTGTCAGTGTGTCAGTGTGTCAGTGTCAGTGTGTCAGTGTCAGTGTGTCAGTGTCAGTGTGTCAGTGTCAGTGTGTCAGTGTCAGTGTGTCAGTGTCAGTCTCAGTGTGTCAGTGTCAGTGTCAATGTGTCAGTGTCAGTGTGTCATTGTCAGTGTGTCAGTGTCAGTGTGTCATAGTGTCAGTCTCAGTGTGTCAGTGTCAGTGTCAGTCCAGTCTCAGTGTCACTGTGTCATAGTGTCAGCGTCTGACAGGACACCCCTCGCCAGTGTCTGCTGGGGCGTTCCACGACAAATCGACAAGTGCCCTGCACCCTCATATTTTATTTTTTGCTTAAAATTGGTCTAATGGGTTGTGATGGGCGGGGAAGCCAGCTGTGACAAGGATTTTTTTTCTTCGAACAACGGTTTCCGAGATATAGCCTCGGGCAATTCCTGGAGGTCGCGCTGCAGCCCTATGTTTGGCGGCCTATAACTCAAAAACTATTGGTTTTCTACGATAAAAACTTTATATGGTTTAACTCAAAATCAGCCAACAAACATTTTGGCTATCTCGGATTTTCAATTTTTGAAAATTTTGATCACGTGACCTTTTGACCTATTTTTCGAAGAGTGACCTTGATATTTTCCCCACTGAAAGTTGCAATTTTGTCTGATGACGATTAAAGCCTTATCATTTGTCATTCATATGCGAAAATAAAAAAAGTGGATATCGCCCTGCGTTGACCTCAGGTCAGGTCATTTTTATGACCTGTCCATTATTACGAGTGGGAGCGACAGCGAGATCTCGAGAATAAAGCAAGATAGCGACAAGCGGTAAACGGTGCAGGATACACACGGATAAGGTCTATAATTTCTACTGAGGTCATTTTGAGGTCAGGTCAAAGATGACGTCACAGGAGCAAAAAGGAAGTCGAAATTGCGGCACTAAATATATATGAAGTTTTTCTCGAATAACTTTCAAGGTATCCCAGCTAGGAACAAACTAATAGCACCATCGTGATCCTCTCGTCGATCCGCATCGAAAGATATGTATGTTGACCTCGAAAGGTCGAAAGGTCAAAAGTTGACCTTAGGTCACGTGACCTAAGGTCAACTTTTGACCTTTCGACCTTTCGAGGTCAACATACATATCTTTCGATGCGGATCGACGAGAGGATCACGATGGTGCTATTAGTTTGTTCCTAGCTGGGATATTTTGAAAGTTATTCGAGAAAAACTTCATATATATTTAGTGCCGCAATTTCGACTTCCTTTTTGCTCCTGTGACGTCATCTTTGACCTGACCTGAAAATGACCTCAGTAAAAGTTATAGACCTTATCCGTGTGTACCCTGCACCGTTTACCGCTTGTCGCTATCTTGCTTTATTCTCGAGATCTCGCTGTCGCTCCCGCTCGTCACGTGACCTAAGGTCAACTTTTGACCTTTCGACCTTTCGAGGTCAACATACATATGTTTCGATGCGGATCGACGAGAGGATCACGATGGTGCTATTGGTTTGTTCCTAGCTGGGATACCTTAAAAGTTATTCGAGAAAAACTTCATATATATGTAGTGCCGCTATTTTGACTTCCTTTTTGCTCCTGTGACGTCATCTTTGACCTGACCTGAAAATGACCTCAGTAAAAATTATAGACCTTATCCGTTTGTACCCTGCAACGTTTACCGCTTGTCGCTATCTTGCTTTATTCTCGAGATCTCACTGTCGCTCCCGCTCGTAATAATGGACAGGTCATAAAAATGACCTGACCTGAGGTCAACGCAGGGCGATATCCACTTTTTTTATTTTCGCATATGAATTACGATCGATAAGGCTTTAATCGTCATCAGACAAAATTGCAACTTTCAGTGGGGAAAATATCAAGGTCACTCTTTGAAAAATAGGTCAAAAGGTCACGTGATCAAAATTTTCAAAAAATGAAAATCCGAGATAGCCAAAATGTTTGTTGTCTGATTGTGAGTTGAACCATATAAAGTCTTTATCGTAGAAAACCAATAGTTTTTTAGTTATAGGCCGCCAAACATAGGGCTGCAGCGCGACCTCCAGGAATTGCCCGAGGCTATATCTCGGAAACCGTTGTTCGGAGAAAAAAATCCTTGCCACAGCTGGCTTCCCCGCCCATCACAACCCCATACACCAGTTTTCAACGAAAAATAAAATATGAGGGTGCAAATTTAATTTTTTATTTGTCGATTTGTCGTGGAACGCCCCTGCTGACTGACCTGGTGACCGCTGCTGCTGTGAAGGCCGTCTCTGCCGGCCGCTGGCGGTCCCCCAGTGTGAGGGTCTGCAGCCCGGGCCAGCCGCTGAGACTGTCCAGCACGGCGTCAGGGACGCCGCCGGACAGGGTGAGATACCACAGCCCAGGGCACCTGGTGAGGGGCTCCAGGCTCACGGTGTCAGAGACGCCGCCGGACAGGGTGAGACTCTCCAGCTTAGGGCACCTGGTGAGGGGCTCCAGGCTCACGGTGTCAGGGACGCCGCCGGACAGGGTGAGAAACCGCAGCTTAGGGCACCTGGTGAGGGGCTCCAGGCTCACGGCGTCAGGGACGCCGCCGGACACGGTATATAGAGAACTCCGCCGGACAGGGTGAGACGCCACAGCCCACGGCACCTGGTGAAGGGCTCCAGGCTGCCGGCCGTGAGATCAGGACAGTCTGGAAAACACACAGACACACATACAGACAGGATCAGTCGGCAGGAATATATGTAAATATATGAAAAAAAAAACGAAACAGCTATGAATTTGCATGGTTTTATGGACACCGTAAGCCATGATATAATAGTGGTACTATATGATATGCCATATAAACATGAATGAATGTGATAACATGAATGAATGAACATGATAACATGAATGTTCATGTTATCTATGGATATGCATTCAGTTCAGCCAATGCATTGAAGTGCATTGAACATTGCATTACAATCGCAATATGTAGTTCAACTAACTATCAGCGAATATGTCACTGATTGAACAATCATCCTCCATTTTGGAGCTCAATTGACTTCATTGTTTCACAAAGCACATTGACTATGTATCACACCTGTCTCAGTCTCCATAAGGTCCGACAACACCACACCGTTACTCGGTGTCCGCCATTCGCTGAGCACGTACATCAGCGGCCTGTCCGTGCTGCCGCTGCTCACCGTATATCTCCAGTAGTGTGACCGTCCGTGCCAGGTCAGCCAGGTGACTGATGGTGTCGGCAGTCACCCCCTGGAGCGACACTGACAGATCACGATCGAACGGCCACCTCGGCTCCGTCACCTCCGGCCACTTCGGCTCCATCACCTCCGGCCCTGTCGGACAGAGCTGTGTTAGCTGACTGCAGTCGGACAGAGCTGCCGCCAGCTCCCCGCTGCACCACTGACACCAGAGTGTCAGACACTGACATAGTCAGCATTGAAACAGACGAGCGGCCGCACAGCAATTTTTTAGCAGCAGCAGTCATATATAGTCTGTAGAATGTGAATATGAACATAATACGTATATGCGATAAGTATATGCATAATACAGTAGTCTATGAAACTTCTTATGCTACTCTCATTGGTTGCACTATATCTAATAATCATTCCCCATTGAAATACTTGCTCTCTAATTGTAGCAATGCCTGCATTCCTGTGCTGGCCGCCTTCGATCGTGGCGCCACCTAATACTCTGTATAACCGCCGCGCCAGGGCCGCGGCCAGTCAGTCTCGTCAGTCTCCTCAGACTCGTCGTCAGCGAGCTCTCTGTGTAGTCTGTCAGTGTCAGTTGTCGATCAGGCGTGCGTTCGACATCCGGAAAATGAGGGATAATTATCCGGGATCACCGGTAATAATTTGGTATTGCAAGGACTATCGATGCAATAAGTCATATTTTTATATTGCTTTTGCTTCAGTAATGGCTCTTTTACTCATTGGCATGTGCGTTGTGCACGGTGTCAGCCTTAAACACCGAATGATCCCGTTGATCCAGGAAAATTATCCCTGATTTTCCGGATGCCGAATTCGCACTAATACTCAATACGTTTGTTCGGAAATTTGCTGCTTGTGACAATGCAACTATCGCTAGTACCTCAACTTTTAAATCACCCCGTGACGTTACACTAATATTTCACGCATATGCCACAAGCATGAACACTATCGAAGTGCATGCATTGAACCCCTTCCCCCTCTCACCACCGAGTAATATACATGATTAACGATGAAACTTGCTAGTTGAGACTGATTGGTTCGTCCATTTGCCGTCTTCCCTGTTCATTTGCATATACCGGCATTACATGTGTGATCTGCGGTATCTCACCTCTGACATTGAGGTACATGAGGCCCTCCGGCAGCTGCCCCCTCAGTCGCGGGAGGTCGGCGGCGGTGACTGATAGGTCCTGCAGCCCACGGCACCTGGTGAGGGGCTCCAGGCTGCCGGCCGTGTGATCAGTAAAATCTGAAAAACACACAGACACACAAACAGACAGAAACAGTTAGCTGTAATACATGTCGATATATGATAAAACGAAAAAACACCTAATAATTCACATGGTTTTATGGACACAGTAGACAATGGTAAGACAGTGCTATTATATGATACCTACAGGGTGGAAAGTAATTACGCGAACATACTTTTTCGTCTTATAGCAATGGAAAAAGCGGCGGTGACATGAAAATTTCATCTTTTCATATATTCCTATTTATGTGCGATACACTGACAAAGGCGTTCAGGCATAATTGACATGAGCATGTCAAGCACTGTTGGCCAAAGCTTAGTCCACGCCTCCTGGAGCTGTCTGGTGAGGCAATCGATGTTAGTGGCTACTAGCAGCTCTTAGACGCTCTCCTGAAGAGTCGCCTGGATATTTTTGATCAAATTGAGGTCTGGGCTATTCCCAGATTGACCATTATATGCCCAGAAGAAGAACGGGTTCTCAAAGCACCAGTCTTGCGTCTTTTTGGCCGTGAGAGGAAGGACTTTATCAATCATGAAGAAGAGTTTCTTTGCGTCGGGCACAAAAGTGCGCTCAATCATTTTGCCCCTTTTGGTGCATTGATGGATTAGATAAAGAGACTCGTCTGGAAGGATGTTCCACTAGTTGTATACTTTATTTTTTGTGGCCTTGTTGGTCACTACATGCAATTCTGACACCATCCGGGCGCTCATAACACGCTGATGTGTGTTCCTTTGCCGGATGTTTGAAGGTTGGGACGGGCGGGACGTCGGACGCATCAGCAGCCCCCAACGCGTTGTTCTGCAGGTTTGACGGATGAAATAGCTTCGAAGATGTCTCACCCAACCACAAAGCCAGCTGCCTGTCCTCCTCTGTTCAGGTTTGGCGGTCTTAAGAAAACTTAAATTGACAATCCTGCTGTTAATTCATGAATTTTGGCCATCTCGATTGTTTGTACGGCTTGATTTTCGAATTTTCACTGATTTATGTATGAATCGTGATATCTTAGATGGGGTACCCGGCCAAAGTAAACCATTTCGCCTGTTTTCGGGTCGACTGTTGTCGTTTGGTCGCGGAAATGGTGACCACCCATTCGGCGCCTGAATTCGCCGAGGTTTTACTGCCGCCAACGGCTTTGCTTTTTAAGTCCTCTTAAGTTTTATTATGCTTCAACCAAACGTGTAATTGAGTAATGCTGGTGCCGAGACCGTTCCGAGTCCCTTCCGCACCAATCCAGCCAAAATAATCACAAACGCTTTCCCTGGCAACTTCAAATTGATCTCTTTGCCCATTTTGGTCTTGAGCAGCGTATGGCGTCAGCACCACTCGAAGCCGAGAGGTGTTGTAGACCTTCCAAGTCATTTTTCAAAGTAAGGTCACTTTTGTTAGATGAGGCGACAACAAACACGACCAGTCATGTTCCATAACAGCCCGCGCTCATGCAAAATCTCCACTGACAGGCGAAATTGTAAGAAAATACATGTTCGCGTAATTACTTTCCACCCTGTATATGCAATGTTAAGCAAATGCATTGAACTTCATTGAACAGTGCAACACAATTATTATGAGTATGATCAACTAACTCTGAACGAATATCTCACTGAGTGAACAGTCCTCCTCCATTTAGGAGCTCAATTGGCTTCATTATTTCACAAAGCACATTGGCTATGTATCACACCTGTCTCCATGAGGTGCGGCAACGGCACACCGTTACTCGATGTCCGCCATTCACTGATCTCTTATATCAGCGGCATGTCCGTGCTGCCGCTGCTCACCGTATATCTCCAGTTGTGTGACCGTCCGTGCCAGGTCAGCCAGGTGACTGATGGTGTCGGCAGCCACCCCCTGGAGCGACACTGACAGACCATCATCCCTGTACCGTTCCGGCCACCTCGGCTCCGTCACCTCCGGCCCTGTCGGACAGAGCTGTGTCAGCTGACTGCATTCGGACAGAGCTGCCGCCAGCTCCCCGCTGCACCACTGACACCAGAGTGTCAGACACTGACACAGCCAGCACTGACACAGCCGAGCGGCCGCACAGCAATTTTTAGCACCAGCAGTCAAATGTATGTATAATGTGAATATGAACATAAGATGTATATGGAATAAGTATATGCGTAATACAATAGTCTATAAAACTACTTATACTACTCTCATTGGTTGTACTATGTCTATAATCATTCCTCATTGGAATACGTGCTCACTAATTGTAGCAATGCCTGCATTCCCGTGCTGGCCGCCTTCGATCGTGGCGTCACCTATGTATACTCTGTATAACCGCCCCGCCAGGGCCGCGGCCAGTCAGTCTCGTCAGTCTGCTCAGACTCGTCGTCAGTACGCTCTCTATGTAGTCAGTCAGTGTCAGTTGTCGATCAGGCGTGCGTTCGACATCCGGAAAATGAGGGATAATTATCCGGGATCACCGGTAATAATTTGGTATTGCAAGGACTATCGATGCAATAAGTCATATTTTTATATTGCTTTTGCTTCAGTAATGGCTCTTTTACTCATTGGCATGTGCGTTGTGCACGGTGTCAGCCTAAAACACCGAATGATCCCGTTGATCCAGGAAAATTATCCCTGATTTTCCGGATGCCGAATTCGCACTAATACTCAATACGTTTGTTCGGAAATTTGCTGCTTGTAACAATGCAACTATCGCTAGTACCTCAACTTTTAAATCACCCCGTGACGTTACACTAATATTCCACGCATATGCCACAAGCATGGACACTATCGAAGGGCATGCATTGAACCCCTTCCCCCTCTCACCACAATACGAGACGAGTAATATACACGATTAACGATGAAACTTGCTAGTTGAGGCTGATCAGTTCGTCCATTTGCCGTCTCCCCTGTTCATTTGCATATACCAGCATTACATGTGTGATCTGCGGTATATCACCTCTGACATTGAGGCACTCGAGGCACTCCGGCAGCTGCCCCCTCAGTAGCGGGAGGTCGGCGGCGGTGACTGATAGGTCCCGCAGCCCACGGCACCTGGTGAGGGGCTCCAGGCTGCCGGCCGTATGATCAGTACAATCTGGAAAACACATAGACACACATACAGACAGGATCAGTTAGCTGTAATACATGTCTATATATGTATGACAAAACGGAAAAAACACCTAATAATTCACCTGGTTTTATGGACACAGTAGACAATGGTAAAACAGTGCTATTATATGATATATGCAATGTTAACCCTCGCCGGCACAGGCCATTTTGAGTCCTTCGACGGCACAAGGGGGGGGGGGGGGGTTGGTACGACCCCCCCCTCGCGTTTGGCCCCTGATGGAGCTAGAGCTTCGCGGAAAAAAACGAGCGTGTTGCCCGTCACGAGACGAAGCCGATGGTACCCAATTTTAACCCTCGCCCGCACATGGGGGGGGGGTGGTTGCCACCCCCCCAGGTAGTCTTTCTGCTCTGCACTCAACATTTTAAGAGCTAGAAGGCTGATTTTTCGTATAGCTGCTCCTCTATCCTTTCTTGATGTCCACTGAAAATTTCAAGTTTCTGTGATTTTTGGTTTCGGAGATATGACCTTGTTTTTCAGGTCATGTCATGACCCAAATGGCCAATTCTCGACATCTTGCGTTGGCTATGGGCCTTGTGAGCTTTTGACACCTTGATTTCGGCCTTTTTTACCAGTCTTACCTCCCACCTATCATGGAACATGTTGCTCGACGATGTACAGATGTCAAGGTCAAGGTCAAGGTCAACCTAGGTCATCTAAGATAATTACGTTTTAGGCAAGCGGAATTTACTTTTTGTGAAGTTTTTTGACTGCATTTTTGGTAAAAGCTTCTCAGATCATGATTTCATGCAATATGGACACATAAACAATCGGTGCACACTTCAGTATACACACAGACACACACAGACATACAAACACATATAATTGACCTTGACCTAACTTGACCTGAAATGACCTAAGCAGCAAAAACCTGGTCGGGTAGTGTGAGAAAGAGGTTCTAGCTGGCTTGGCACCAGAAAACGGCATCGTCATCGGTATATGATAAGCAGCGCACTTGATATCAAACGGTGACCCAAAACAGCAACATTTTTTAGTTTGACCTGACCTGGAAGGTCAATGACTGACCTGAGAAGGTAAAACTGGGTATCATTGGGTTCGTCTCTTCCCAAAGAATCTTTTTGGTCTTTACCGCTAAGCTCTATCTCCAACAGGAACGAAATGGCGCGGGGGGGGTGGCAACCCCCCCCCATGTGCGTTCTAGGATGGGAAAATGGCATGTGCGGGCGAGGGTTAAGGTCCTAGGTCATCGGGTGACCTTCCAGGTCAGGTCAATGACCCGAAAACCGGGAAAATCGGGACCTGTTAGAAAGTCGTAAAGTGTGGCTGCCATGTGGTTTTCCGGGGTGCTGATCACGAATATCGTGTTAGTTTTGATCATAGATGATGTCTTTAAGCATTTAGACCAGGTCGGGTCAGGTCAGGTCAGGTCAACCGGTAGGGGTTGTGACGGGTATTCGTAATACGTGTCAACCGCCTCGGACAGCTTCGTAACATGTTACGAAGGCACCAAAACTACTTCGTAAATGTTCAAATGGTTGCTAAATTCGAATTCAGCTCCAAAAACTAGCCTAGAAACATGTAAAACTCGAAAAAGTGAGCCGAGGTCACCCGAGGTCACCAAAGGTCAATGACCTGACTCGACTTTCAGGTGACCTTGACACCCACCCTAATGCATGGGAGCAACATCAAATCACATGTTTGAACGTTTGAAACCACGAAAAGCTTGCAAACGCGCGGCTAATGCGAGCCGACATGCGCCGAACCGCGATTTCGGCCAAACATGGTCACAGAAAAGAGGTCACAGGTCAAAGGTCATTGGGGTCAGGGTCATGAAATTTTCAGGGTAGGTGTAAAATTGATCAATGCGAGGGTACTGAAAGTTTCGTCGCGATCTGCCGCTTTTTACGCGAGTTATTCGCGAAAAACCTTACGGGGGGGGTTGCATCAACCCCCCCCCCTGTGCCGGCGAGGGTTAAGCAAATGCATTGAACTTCATTGAACAGTGCAACACAATTGTTATGAGTATGATCAACTAACTCTGAACGAATATGTCACTGAGTGAACAGTCCTCCATTTTGGAGCTCAGTTGGCTTCATTATTTCACAAAGCACATTGGCTATGTATCACACCTGTCTCAATGAGGTGCGACAACGGCACACCATTACTCGATGTCCGCCATTCGCTGAGCTCGTATATCAGCGGCCTGTCCGTGCTGCCGCTGCTCACCGTATATCTCCAGTCGTGTGACCGTCCGTGCCAGGTCAGCCAGGCGACTGATGGTGTCGGCAGCCACCCCCTGGAGCGACACTGACAGACCACTCCCGTACCGTTCCGGCCACCTCGGCCCCGTCACCTCCGGCCCTGTCGGACAGAGCTGTGTCAGCTGACTGCAGTCGGACAGAGCTGCCGCCAGCTCCCTGCTGCACCACTGACACCAGAGTGTCAGACACTGACACAGTCAGCATTGAAACAGACGAGCGGCCGCACAGCAATTTTTTAGCAGCAGCAGTGATATGTAGAATGTGAATATGAACATAATATGTATATGCGATAAGTATATGCATAATACAGTAGTCTATGAAACTACTTATACTACTCTTATTGGTTGCACAATGTCTATAATCATCCCTCATTGGAAATAACTGCTCGAGTGCTTACTAATTGTAGCAATGCCCATGCATCCCTGCTGGCCGCCTTCGATCGTGACGTCACCTATACTCTGTATAACCGCCGCGCCAGGGCCGCGGCCAGTCAGTCTCGTCAGTCTGCTCAGACTCGTCGTCAGCGAGCTATCTATGTAGTCAGTCAGTTACCGGGGTTACATCACATGAGCAAGTAAATGCGTATCAGGAACGGATTTTCCTATTCGCTCACCATTGTAGTCCGTTTGTAATGCGTATTAACTCTGCTCATGTACCCCCGAGCAGTGTCAGTTGTCGATCAGGCGTGCGTTCGACATCCGGAAAATGAGGGATAATTATCCGGGATCACCGGTAATAGTTTGGTATTGCAAGGACTATCGATGCAATAAGTCATATTTTTATATTGCTTTTGCTTCAGTAATGGCTCTTTTACTCATTGGCATGTGCGTTGTGCACGGTGTCAGCCTAAAACACCGAATGATCCCGCTGATCCCGGAAAATTATCCCTGATTTTCCGGATGCCGAATTCGCACTAATACTCAATACGTTTGTTCGGAAATTTGCTGCTTGTGACAATGCAACTTTCGCTAGTACCTCAACTTTTAAATCACCTCGTGACGTTACACTAATATTCCACGCATATGCCACAAGCATGGACACTATCGAAGGGCGTGCATTGAACCCCTTTCCCCTCTCACCACAATACAAGACGAGTAATATACTAGTACACGATTAACGATGAAACTTGCTAGTTGAGGCTGATCAGTTCGTCCATTTGCCGTCTCCCCTGTTCATTTGCATATACCAGCATTACATGTGTGATCTGCGGTATATCACCTCTGACATTGAGGCGCCAGAGGCCATCCGGCAGCTGCCCCCTCAGTCGCGGGAGGTCGGCGGCGGTGACTGATAGACTATCCAGCTCAGGGCACCTGGTGAGGGGCTCCAGGCTGCCGGTCGTGTGATCAGTACAATCTGGAAAACACGCAGACACACATACAGACAGGATCAGTTAGCTGTAATAAATGTCGATATATGACAAAACGAAAAAAACACCTAATAATTCACATGGTTTTATGGACACAGTAGACAATGGTAAAACAGTGCTATTATATGATATATGCAATGTTAAGCAAATGCATTGAACTTCATTGAACAGTGCAACACAATTGTTATGAGTATGATCAAGTAACTCTGAACGAATATGTCACTGAGTAAACAGTCCTCCATTTTTCAGCTCAATTGACTTCATTATTTCACAAAGCACATTGGCTATGTATCACACCTGTCTCCATGAGGTGCGACAACGGCACACCGTTACTCGGTGTCCGCCATTCCCTGATCTCTTATATCAGCGGCATGTCCGTGCTGCCGCTGCTCACCGTATATCTCCAGTAGTGTGACCGTCCGTCCCAGGTCAGCCAGGTGACTGATGGTGTCGGAAGCCACCCCCTGGAGCGACACTGACAGATCATCATCCTCGTCCCATCCCGGCCAGCTCGGCTCCGTCACCTCCGGCCCTGTCGTACAGAGCTGTGTCAGCTGACTGCAGTCGGACAGAGCTGTCGCCAGCTCCCCGCTGCACCACTGACACCAGAGTGTCAGACACTGACACAGCCAGCACTGACACAGCCGAGCGGCCGCACAGCAATTTTTGGCACCAGCACTCAGCAGTCATAAGTCACTAGGTATGTAGAATGTGAATATGAACATAATAAGTACCTATATGCGATGAGTATATGCGTAATAATAAGTATTAGGTCGTTCAATAAGTAACGAACAATCGGTCATAACTTCTTTATTTCTTTATTTAACACTTTCAAACTTTCACAGATTATAGATCAAATGTTTCTGAATGTAGCCTTTGCCTCAAACCAGTCGCCGCCCGCCTGCACGCACTTCTCCCAGCGTTCCGGCCAACGCCGGAATTCCGCCCGGAATAACGCGTTTTCCGTCTTTTTCACCCAGTTCTTGACAGCGCACCTGACTTCAGCGTCGGTCTCGAAGTGTTCACCACGGAGGCCATCCTTCAGGGGACCAGAGGTGAAAATCTGAAGGAGCCAGGTTCGGACTGTAGGGCGGCTGGGGCATGATATTCAGCCCTGTCTCGCGATCTCTTCGCGTGTGGCGTGAGACATGTGCAGACGACCGTTGTCATGGTGTCATCCTGGTGGGCTTTCTTGTACCTGGGCGGACGATGGACAGCGGGCCGCTACATCACAGTCCTGCAGGAGACTGAGAAAAGCAATCCTGAAGAAGAGGCGCGGCTCGGATGTCAACAACATCACCATACACCATGACAACGCCCGACCGCACTTGTCTCACGCCACGCGCGAGGAGATCGCGTGACAGGGCTGAATATCATGCCCCAGCCGCCCTACAGTCCGGACCTGGCTCCTTCAGATTTTCACCTCTTTGGTCCCCTAAAGGATGGCCTCCATGGTGAACACTTCGAGACCGACGCTGAAGTCATGTGCGCTGTCATGAACTGGGTGAAAAAGACGGAAAACGCGTTTTTCCGGGCGGAATTCCGGCGTTGGCCGGAACGCTGGGAGAAGTGTGTGCAGGCGGGCTCCGGCTGGTTTGAGACATAGGCTGCATTCAGAAATGTCTGATCTATAATCTGTGAAAGTTTGAAAGTGTTCAATAAAGAAATAAAGAAGTTATGACCGATTGTTCGTTACTTATTGAACGACCTAATAATACAATAGCGTAAGTAACACAATTGTCGTATAGCCGCCGCTCCAGGGCCGCGGCCAGTCAGTCTCGTCAGTCTGCTCAGACTCGTCGTCAGCGAGCTATCTATATAGTCAGTCAGTGCCAGTCGTCGATTAATGCTCAATACGTTTGTTCGGAAATTTGCTGCTTGTGAGAATGCAACTATCGCTAGTACCTCAACTTTTAAATCACCCCGTGACGTTACACTAATATTCCACGCATATGCCACAAGCATTAACCCGGCAGGCGGTGGGCCAATCTATTTTTTGATTTTGGGGGGTCAAAATCCAAAAAATTCGAAAAACTGAAATAGAAGTTTTGTAGCCCTTTTGATTCCACACCTTTTATGTCTAAAACATTTTTCTGTATCTCTAAAGCTGTAGGCCTGACAGCTCTTCCCGCGAAACCTTTTTTTTGGGTCGAAAATGGCAAAAATGACGTCACTCTTACGTCATTAGCGGCCAACCTATCAAAGCCTTTGGAAAAATTTTTGGTCACCATGTGCGCTAGCTACTCCCGGGAGGGTACTGAAAGTTTGGTGACGATCAGCGCAGCGGTTCTCGAGATATATCGAAAAAAGTAAAGGGGGGGGGGGCAAAAAAATGCCCCCCCCCACCGCCTGGAAGGTTAACACTATCGAAGGGCATCTGTAAAGTGTGTGTCATTGTTTATCGCCGTTGCCTTGCATAAATTACTGCTTATATTTTTATGGGTTTATGATTAATTAGTTCGTAGTCTAATTATACCTGCGTGGTGGCTATATTTCATTTTCGCATTTTCAACGCTCATCGTCTTTACCGCTCCCCGCTCGCGCTCAACCGCTCCGCGCTCGCGCTCAGCTCAGCGCAGCCGACGCCGCGGCCGGCTCAAGACGTGTCATAGTTTATTCACGAGGTGACTCACCGTCTCCAGCACTCTGCGCCGCGCCGCCGGTGTGTTATCTACAAACGTCAGCTTTTAGCCTGTCTTCTGTCTAACGCACTCTAGGGCCTCTATACCTAAAAGTCGGTTGCTGTCTGCTAAGTGTCGTCTCATGTCGTTGCAACGGTGCGTAGCCGGATGCTTTTAACACCACGGGACCAGCGCGTGACACCCACACTCACGTGACGCGTGATTGCTGGAGGCTTCCCGATGGTTCGACTTGCGACGACCAATCACAGTGTGCAAATCTTATATAATGCTAGCTCCAGTCGCGAGCCGCCACGCAGGGTTAGAGGGCCACCGCCCAAAGTAGGAACTAGGCCGAGCGAGGAGAGCTCTGACCACCCTGCAGAGGGTGAGGTCAGAAGACCCTCGGCCGTCACTGAGACCAGACGTGTCGTGCCTGAATCGTGTGTGACTCCCAATACACCGGTGCCGAAGAGCTGGAGTGTGCAAGGGCTAACACCTGCCCGCAGTGCCCCAGCCCTGGGCCCGTGAACTACGACGTGCTACACATCCATTGAACCCCTTCCCCTCTCACCACAATACGAGACGAGTAATACATATACACGATTAATGATGAAACTTGCTAGTTGAGGCTGATCAGTTCGTCCATTTGCCGTCTTCCCTGTTCATTTGCATATACCGGCATTACATGTGTGATCTGCGGTATCTCACCTCTGACATTGAGGCACCTGAGGCCCTCCGGCAGCTGCCCCCTCAGTAGCGGGAGGTCGGCGGCGGTGACTGATAGGTCCTGCAGCCCACGGCACCTGGTGAGGAGCTCCAGGCTGCCGGCCGTGTGATCAGTAAAATCTGGAAAACACACAGACACACATACAGACAGGATCATTTGGCTGTAATACATGTCGATATATGACAAAACGAAAAAACACCTAATAACTCACATTGTTTTATGGACACAGTAGACAATGGTAAAACAGTGCTATTATATGATATGTGCAATCAGTTAACCCGCGCACCGACGGGGGCCTGCGCCAACTTCGCACCGACGGGGGGGGGCGGCGGATGACCGCCCCCCCTGAGATCTCGAGAACGAAGCAAGATAGCGACAAGCGGTAAACGGCATCGGATACGCACGGTCAAGATCTACAATTTTTACTAAGGTCATTTTCAGGTCAGGTCAAAGATGACGTCACAGGGGTCGAAAAAGTCAAAATGGCGGCGCTAGATATGGAGAGAGTTTTTCTCGAATAACTTTCGGATTAGTCAAGATAGGACCAAACTAAGGGCATCATCGTGATCCTCTCGTCAATCCGCATCGAATGATATATATGTTGACCTCGAAAGGTCAAGGTCAAAGGTTGACCACAGGTCACGTGACCTCGAGGTCATCATGTATAGCATTCGATGCGTCTTGACGAGCTGAACACAATGCGACCATCCGCGCGGCTGTATTTTGTTACTGTACGGAGATATTGGCAAAAAACCTTTGGTGACCTTTGCTGACGTCACATGACCTTACAGCTGCCCATCAGCAAAACAGACCTCAAGGTAGTGAAGGTTGATCGTATATGAAGTCATGTATGGTATATGGGGCCATTCCGACCCGTTTTAGTGGTAAAAACGGGAGTTGATTTTTCCCCCATTGACTTAAAATGGGGAGGTCGCGAAATTGACCTGACCTTAGGTCACCGATATCAAAATTCCGAGATAAACAAATTGTAGCTACTAATGACCTAATAACATCCTGCGACTTTCAAAGGCCTCCGACATCTACTGTAACTCTGGCACGGTGACAAAGTTGCAAAAAAGTGGCTTGAGGTTGGGTCATTCAAAGTGACCTGGTGACCTGACCTTAAATATTAGGAGGTTCCAACTTGCATACCATGTGTAAAATTGATGAAGGAATAGTCATACCAAATTTCGCGGCGCTACGCGCCGCGGTTTTCCCGCTATTCGCGAAAAACCTCAGGGGGGCGGATATCCGCCCCCCCGTCGGTGGGCGGGTTAACCCTCGCCCTGGCAGGGCATTTTTCATAACACGGCCTGGCAGGGAGGGGGGTCGATGCGACCCCCCTCGCGATTAGCTCCTATGGCACCTAGAAACACCAAATTTGGTAGGCAGGTGGGCCCCCTGGAAATCTCGCCCCTGTGCAAATTTGGTTGCTCTAGGTCAATATTTAGGGGGGTTTTGGGGGGTATAAATGTAAAAATCTCGCTAAAAATAGGTCAAAAGTTTTTCGCTTATAACTTTTGATCTAATAAAGTTAGAGCAAAAAGAAAAGCACCAATGAACTCAACGCGTCAAGGCGCGTCGAATGATATACTTTTAAGCTTGCTTAACCCTCGCCGGACCTATTGGTTTTCTACATACGCGCCGGCCGAGGGGGGGGTACGACCCCCCTCGCCGTTTCGCCCCTGGTGGAGCTAGCGCGTCGCGGAAAAAACGAGCGTGTGCGCCGTTACGAGACGCAGAGATTGGTACCCGATTTTAAGGTCCTAGGTCACCCGGTGACCTCTGAGGTCAGGTCAAGTGCGTCAAGGTACGGTTCGGTTTTTGGTGAATAACTTCGCAAAAAACGGTCGCAGAGCCGCGATTTTGGCAGCATCGTGTTCGCCTCGCTCAGGCGCGTCGAATGATATACTTTTTGTTCGGGTCAGGTCAACTTGGGGTGTTGACCTCAGGTCAAGGTCAGGTCAGCACCCCCAGGTCACGAAGTTGGTCGAAAGAGGTCATGTCGCATATCATTCGATTCGGCAGGTCTTCCTGAGTCCATTGGTGGCTTTCCCGACTCGCTAGCTCAATTTGCTCGGGAGTTATTGACGAAAAACGAATATGACCTTGATGACGTCATAAATGACGTCACGAAAGGTCAACATTGCAAAAGTGACGCATCTAACCTTGCAAGGAGTGCATCAAATCACGATTCTGTGTGCTTGAGATAGTTGGAGATCGTTCCCGGCGCCAGAATAGCAGTTTTCATTTTTCCCCATTGACTTACAATGGTGAGGTCACGAAAATGACCTGACCTCATATGACATTCAGGGAAAATCCGAGATATACAAGTTGTGAGACACATAATGGATACTAGATCCTGCAAGTTTCATTTCCCTGTGACATCTCCTCTGGCAGTGAGGGCGTTGCGAAGTTGCGACATCTGAAGACCGTGCAGAGGTTCACTTATGACGTCATAGGTCAGTGACCTGACCTGACCCAAAAATGCGGTTGGTGTCAAAAGATGCGGCTTGGATCAAAGGTCAGGTATGCCAAGTTTCAGCTCTCTATCGCCAGCGTGTTCGGAGCTATCGCGAAAAAACCCTATGGGGGGGGGGGGCGGCACCCGCCCCCACCTCGGCCGGCGAGGGTTAAGTGTACTTAAAGTTTTTCTTAGATTTTAAGTAAACTTAAATTAATGAATTAAGTTCAAGTTAACCAAATTGCATCATGTTGCATATCATTCGATTCGGCTGATCAACAGGAACACAATGATACCATTTTTCAGCTCTAGCGTCATTATTTGCCAAGTTATTTGCAAAAACGTCATTTGACCTCAGTTGACCTCATTTGACCTGACCCATGGATAAGTACACCAAACAAAGAAGCACCAAGTGACCTGCTGTTAACCCTATTAGTGGCAGGGGGGGTTGTTTTTATCCACCCCTCAGGTTTTTCGGGAATATCTCCGAAACCGCTGAAGCTACGATACTGAAATTTTCTGACTTTTCCTAAAACTAAATTGGGCACATTCCCTGAAAATTTCAAGTTCATAACTTTACCAGGGGCGGCTCCAGAGCACTGGGAATTGGGGGGTCCTATTCGTGAAGCGAGGCATTTGGGCGAAGATCACGATGCTGCACCAGTTTTACGAACAGTGAATAAAAGGTATCATGTGATAACATATACAGTTATTGTGCATCCTCTTTTGACACGCTTTTGCTATAATAGGCGGATCCAGGCGTCCAAAAAGGGGGGTTATGTTTTACCTCCCAACATAGGTGCCCTGACACCGCCTATGCATTACCAATACAATTTTAGTCGTTCTCTCATAAGAAAATTATTACATAACAAGACCATTACCACCCTTTTTAGAAACAGTACCAACAAAAACCTTATTTACTATACTTTTTGTGTACCCCCAATCTCAATGATCTGTATCCGCCTATGATTTTTGAAAATGCATATTTTTAGGATCCATGTGAATTCCTGGTTCATTCTCTATCGATCGGCAAAAGTTGCGTTAAGATTGGTTCAGAAACCTGGCCGTGATAAACAGTCTAAAATGTATCTGCAATTTGCCCGTTTTTACCCCCCTCTACCCCCCCTATTGACATTTCTTAATTTTTATTTTTTAGAAATGTAGATCACGTTGAGCGAAATCGAATGCCGTTTGAATTTTGAAAATCGGCCCGTTAGATCTCGAGATATCAAGGGGGGGTCGTAAACAGCCCCCCCCTGCCACTAATAGGGGGTAGCCAGGAGCCTGCCACTAATAGGGTTAAGTACTGTGGTTTCAAAGCACAAAAGTGATAGAACGAAGCGGATATCTCCAGTATTTTCCGAATTTAGTATTTTCCCATAGGCTTAACCCTCGCCAGACCTATTGGTTTTCTACATACGCGCCGGCCGAGGGGGGGGGGGGCGGGTACGACCCCCCTCTCGCTGTTTCGCCCCTGGTGGAGCTAGCGCGTCGCGGAAAAAAACGAGCGTGTGCGCCGTTACGAGACGCAGAGATTGGTACCCGATTTTAAGGTCCTAGGTCAACCGGTGACCTCTGAGGTCAGGTCAAGTGCCCCAAGGTACGGTTCAGTTTTTGGTGAATAACTTCGCAAAAAACGGCTGCAGAGCGCCGATTTTGGCAGCATCGTGTTCGCCTCGCTCAGGCGCGTCGAATGATATACTTTTTGTCCGGGTCAGGTCAACTTGGGGTGTTGACCTCAGGTCAAGGTCAGGTCAGCACCCCCAGGTCACGAAGTTGGTCGAAAGAGGTCATGTCGCATATCATTCGATTCGGCAGGCCTTCCTGAGTCCATTGGTGCCTTCCCCGACTCGCTAGCTCAATTTGATCAAGAGTTATTGACGAAAAACTAATTTGACCTTGATGACGTCATAAATGACGTCACGCAAGGTCAACATTGCAAAAGTGACGCATCTAACCTTGCAAGGAGTGCATCAAATCACGATTCTGTGTGCTTGAGATAGTTGGAGATCGTTCCCGGCGCCAGAATAGCAGTTTTCATTTTTCCCCATTGACTTATAATGGTGAGGTCACGAAAATGACCTGACCTCATATGACCTTTAGGAAAAATCCGAGATATACAAGTTGTGGGACTCATAATGGATACTAGATCCTGCAAGTTTCATTTCCCTGTGACATCTCCTCTGGCAGTGAGGGCGTTGCGAAGTTGCGACATCTGAAGACCGTGCAGAGGTTCACTTATGACGTCATAGGTCAGTGACCTGACCTGACCCAAAAATGCGGTTGGTGTCAAAAGATGCGGCTTGGATCAAAGGTCAGGTATGCCAAGTTTCAGCTCTCTATCGCCAGCGTGTTCGGAGCTATCGCGAAAAAAACCTATGGGGGGGGGGGCGGCACCCGCCCCCCCCCTCGGCCGGCGAGGGTTAAGTGTACTTAAAGTTTTTCTTAGATTTTAAGTAAACTTAAATTAATGAATTAAGTTCAAGTTAACCAAATTGCATCATGTTGCATATCATTCGATTCGGCTGATCAACAGGAACACAATGATACCATTTTTCAGCTCTAGCGTCA